GATTTCATGTCAGTTAAATATGCACAACACTGCTTTATCCGGCATGTTTTCATTATGACTAAATTGTCGTGAGTATTTTGACGGTTTTTGAGGGTATTTTAAAACACATGAGTACCTTAAAAACATGCATTAACACACACACACAAAAGAAAGCAAAATCCAAATGACACTTAAAAAAATACTCATAGTTAGAAAATGCAAACACCGAAGGATCAGATGGAGAAAATAGTGCCTTCCCACCGCTGGAGTCCTTCCACCCAAAGGTTTAGGCTTTTCTTGGGGAGCCTGTGTGGCTCAGTCAGTAAAGCGTCCGACTCTTGGTTATGATCTCGCCATTTGTGAGTTCGAGCCCTACACTGGGCTCCGCGCTGGCAATATCTATTGATGGGTATTATTATATTTATTAATAAGTGTTATTAATTTATTGGTAAATAAATATATTATTAATATAATAAATGCATATTGCTAACAAATACATTAAAAAAACAGAACAAAAGGTTAGGCTTTTCTATCCTACTGGAAAAATGATGTATGCACATATGTTGACTTGTTTACTAAAAGAATCATATTTTTTTTTCTTTTTTTGTGAGAGAGAGAGAGAGATTGCAAGTGTGCGTGGGGGAGGGGCAGAGAGAGAGGGAGAGAGAATCTCAAGCAGACTCACGCTCGGCGCGGGGCCTGTCACAGGGCTCAATCTCAAGACCTGAGTCGGATGCTCAACCGATGGAGCCCCCCAGGCGCCCTAAAAGCAGATTACGCAGTTTTGCTACATGCATTTTTTCCTTAATAGTGTACGTATCCTGATACTTTCAGATCAGCACAGCTATTACCACATTCGTTTTGCTTTTGCACACGGCGTTTCAGGGAATAGCTTTGCACACAAGGCTTGGTGTTGTAAGTCGTTTTTCAACGCGACCTGCTGCCAAAGTCCATGCAGGCGGCTCCAAGCGGTCTATCCCACTTGTGTGGTTGGAAAAGAACGCGTCTAGTTTCCTGGGTGGATTTGGGTGCTTCGGAAACTTTCCTGGGACGCCCTGATTTACACCCCCATGGGTCTCGGGAACGGCACGGGAAAGGCCTGTTTCCGACTGAGGGACATGAATGCTTCTGCCTGTTCGCTTTTGAGCGTGAGGGTTCCCGTGGCCATGCAGGAGCCTGTCTTTGCTCTTAGGTCCTTTGCGCTCAGGGCCGCTCAACGCGCCCACCCCCTGCAGGCTCACGGCAGGAGGAGATGTTTGCGGAGGAAACAGGGGAGCACGGAACCGGAGCGAACAGCGGGTAGGACTGCCAGGTTAGCTTGCCTTCACTAGCGAGCAGGTGTCAGAAACTCCCCCTCACTGAGGACCGACGATAAGGAGCTGCCTGCCTGGGGGCCGGGGGCACGGGAACACAGTCACATGGGAGAGTGACCACAGGGTCTACGGCTCAGGACTGGTAAGAACAGGAAAACCATCTTACATCTTGGCACTTAGTTGCCTCAAATCCTTTTTGAAATGATGGCGGGCTTAAGATCTATTTTGAGGGGTGCATGGGTGGCTCATCAGTTAAGCATCTGACTTTGGCTCAGGTCACGATCTCGTGGTTTGCGGGTTTGAGTCCCCGGTCGGCTCTGTGCTGACAGCTCGGAGCCCGGAGCCTGCTTCGGATTCTGGGTCTCCCTCTCTCTCTCTACCCCTCCCCCACTCATGCTTTGTCTCTCTCAAAAATAAATGAAGACAAATAAAATTTTTTTAAATCCATTTTGAAATCTTTTGACAGCATTTTCCCAAACGTTTGCTATATTTGTTACCTTGTTTGACTACCACAACAACTCAACAGGTAGGCTGAGGTCATTTTCTGTATGTACTTACAAGGCGGAATGACTACAGGGCAGCAAAGTTACACAACTCACCCGAGGTTGATCAGCTAAGTGTTCTGACTCCAGGCACTGTGCTCTTTCCTGATCTCTCCCTCACCCACCCAAGTCCCAGGCCAGCCTGCGAATGTCAGAACGCTGAAGAAGAGCTAGGAAAGGAGCCAGGGATAGAAACACACCCTCCCCAGGGATACCTGAGATCATGAAAACTACCTCTTCCTAAAAAAATTTAATGAATAATATTGATGTTGCTAAGTACCAGGTTGAGATACCAAAGCCACATCGTGACAGAATAACAGTCTTGACTCATTTTACAAAGACTTCTACGATAGGGCTGGCTCAGTCGGTGGAGCGTGGGACTCCTGATGTCTGGCTTACTAAGTCTGAGCCCCAATGGGTGCAGAGATTACTTAAAAATAATGGGGCGCCTGGGTGGCGCAATCGGTTAAGCGTCCGACTTCAGCCAGGTCACGATCTCGCGGTCCGTGAGTTCGAGCCCCGCGTCGGGCTCTGGGCCGATGGCTCAGAGCCTGGAGCCTGTTTCCGATTCTGTGTCTTCCTCTCTCTCTGCCCCTCCCCCGTTCATGCTCTGTCTCTCTCTGTCCCAAAAATAAATAAACGTTGAAAAAAAAAATTAAAAATAATAATAATAATAAAAACTTAGGGGCACCTGGGTGGCTCAGTCGGTTAAGCATCCAACTTCAGTTCAGGTCATGATCTCGCGGTCTGTGGGTTCGAGCCCCGCGTCGGGCTCTGTGCTGACAGCTCAGAGCCTGGAGCCTGCTTCAGTATCTGTGTCTTCCTCCCTCTTCTCTTCTGTCCCTCCCCCACTGAGGCTCTCTCAAAAATAAACATTAAAAAAAATGATTATTAATAATTAATGTTAATTATTAAATATTACAAAGTAAAAAAATTGTGGAAATGTGCTTTTATATCTTATTATAAACACACATAGTATCTCAGCTTTTTAAAAAATCCAGTAGCTCTTAATTTTTACGGTTAGACACTGCCCTGGATGGTACTAGGAAGTTGTCATTTCAATATCCAATGCCTATTTCTTGAGTTGTCTTTTTTTTCTAAGTCTTTTTTTGAGAATGTCCTACAGAAAAAACATATTTTACTTGGTAAAGCCTAGATACGTATCTGTCATTGAAACAAAACTTTCACAAAATCCTAATTGCCCTTCCTATGAGTGTTTTCCTTGGATATTATCTATGTTTTCATTCTCTTGGGGACAGAGGTCTAGAAAGGCTCCTCTCTGTGGACTCGAAGAAGGGGTCTTAGTAAATTAGAAAACATTACAAACAGCCTTCAAAACCGAAGGGCCACATAGGTGCTACTCTAGGATGCTGGAAGTCAGGAAAGCCTCCCTGACGGGGCCCAAAATGAACTGAATCTCGAAAGACGAACTGGAATCAGAAGGGTAGAACTTCAAAAGATGAAATGAGCCCAGCACGTCTAGGGGACAGTCACGAAGGGTTCATAAAGGGAGTGGTAAGGGATAAGGTCGAAAAGAAAGCCTGCGGTCAGTCTGCAGAGAGCAAGACGGACGGTGGGTTTCATCCTGGAGGTGATAATGGCATTACTGAAGGTGAGTGTACACAGAGCTATTCCAGGATTGTTCTTCCGCACACGGACTGCAAACCCAGCTCTAAAGCCGCTCAGAGTTCAGACACCAGGTTCTCCAGCTATATTGTAGCACAGAGAAAAATGTGTGTGCACGTAGACTTCATAAATTCAGAATTCTAGTGAGAGCAGTCGGGATCACATAAAAAAAAATAGAAAAGCTAGGATATACGTATTAAGTTTAGACAGCAACTGAGCCCAGTTTCTGTGTCTTTTCATCCTGTTTACCTTTGTTAATGAAGTGTGAGCCTTATCTGCACTAAGTAACCATTTCCTTAGGAAAGCTATACACTTCACCGAGAACCTATCCTCAATGCTCTTAGGAGCCTGACAAACTATTATGAACAACTCTTAATAATAATAAGGTTGTCTAAAGTGAACATACAAACAGGGCTCTCTGAAGGTGTTAACCATCCAGTAATTCAGGCTCTGCTGGCTACAGGGACGGTGCCCTACCATCCTTAGCTGGCACTCGGGTCTGTCTCAGGAGAATAAAAACATCCAATGTGAGTCACCTTGCGATTACACCGCCACCTGGAAGCATATTTAAGTGATGACAACTACAAAGCTAGGTCTCTGTAGGACCCTGCATGAGACTTCCTCTCCCTTCTTCCAGTCTGAGGATCAACAGAGCTCAGGATTCCTTTACCAATTTCTCCTCGGCATCATTCTTTACCATTTTTCCAAAGTGGAAAAGGACAGTGTCCCAAGGCCTGGTTAAAGCTACCATGACTTGTCATTACGGTAAATTTCAGAGACAGAAAATGCTTAGTTAAATCTGTGTTTTTTCCAGAGGAAACGACTTAGGAGATAGATTTTTTTTTTTTTTTAATTTCCGAGAAAATGCACACACTAGGTGTGTGAGCGATCACCCCCACACGTAAATAAAACTCGTTTGGGGTAAGGTAGACCACTCACCAGTGGTCAAGGTTCAGCCCAGTCTTTGCTGCTGCATTTCCGCAGCAACACAAACACGTACATCACAGTGACACGGAAGCCTTACGTTTCGCCAAAAAATGCCATGCCTGGATCCCAAGCAGAGTTCAAATCCCGCTGGGAAGAGATGCACTTTTGGAGGAGGCGGATGGAAGGCAGAGGGGCCGCCCCTAGGCAGGTGCCCGAGCACCCACCGCCGGTTTCCCCGCAGCAGTCCACCTCCCCAGGGGGTGCACGGCTCTCGTCCGCCCGCCGCCCCAGACCCTCGGGCGGCACGCGCAAATTCCAGCTGCTCCACACTAGGACCAGGAGGTTGTTCGCCCGGGGTGACCGCTGGCTGAGCCGCCGGGGCCTCCCACCCTGCGCCTCCTCGTCCAGATCCCGCCGCCCCGTCCGAAGCCCGCCGAGACCCCGACCCCCCTTGACCCCGAACTCGACCCGGCGTGCGCCGACAGCAACCCCCACCAGGTCCCGGCCCGCGCCGGCCCCGTTTCACCCCCTAACCCCAGCCCCGATGCCTACCCGCGCCGAGCTCGACCCTCCTGACCCCGGCCCGCGCCAGACCTGGGGCTGCCGCACTTACTGCTGCTAAGGCGGCCGTCGGGGTCGGGCCCGCGTCCGCGCGGGGCCGGGGTCGGGGCTGGTGTCGCGTCCGGGCAGGGCTGGGGTCGGGGTCGGCGCGGACCGGGGCCGGAGCTGGGGTCGGGGTCACGTCCGGGCAGGGCCGGGGTCGGGGGTGTCGGGGCCGGGATCGAGGCCGCGTCCGCGCGGGGCCGGGGTTGGGGG